GCCAATGAAAAATGAAAAAGTGAATGAACATTAAAATAAAATTTCATGTCAAAATAGGCCTATAAACTGAGTTATTTTAAAAAAAAATGTGTCAGAAGCTACCTCGGTTAAATAAATTAATAATAAACTTCCGCTGCTGGATAAAAAAAACATATAAACTTATAAACAAGTATAACATAACCAGTGCTGTGATATACTTAGAGAATTAGCAAAATTTAGTCTCGTGTATTTAATATGCAGTGGAAAACTACTGTGCCACTGGTCACTTTTCAGCTGGAGGCATTGGTTTCTTCTGTTTTATTCTTAATTTTTTCTATAAATATTAGCAACATTACATGGATAAAGTGCAATTTTTGACTCTGGCATGCTGCTCCGTTATAACTGTTATAATGTAGAATTATTTCAAGTTGCTATTAAAATAAGGTATGTCCTTCATATTTTCATACATCTTTCTGCACAGTGAAAAAAATCAATGTAGTGAAACTGCTAACAAGCTGAGCCTTTGAAACCATGGGCAGGTGATGAAAGCCACCTCATGTCTAAAGTATCCCCAGGTCACAGCTGTCACACTCACTGCAATTCATTGCTGTCACAATCTGCTGTCCCTGCTTGTTGCTGCTCTCCTCTTATTCATCCAACTCATATATCTAAACATTCCATTACAAAAAGACATCTAATGTTCATCTCATGTTTGAAAGGGCATAACATTCTTCTGAAATATAATTCTGAAGATTTTAGAGCTTAGAGATCACTGCCAAATTTAAGGTGTTGCTTTGTAAGGCTTCCCTTGTAATTTTGTCTTTGTCTCATCTCCTGAACACAGAAGGTAAACTGTTTGGTTAGTACATGATCTCAGGTTTATTCCAACTTCTTATCAAGAAGAAATTAAATACTGCCCACTAATAGAAAGGCGTCAGAAGCTTTGTAAGTTTAAAAACAGCACTAACTGTGAACTCAGTGAATTGGAAGGAAAGGTCAGCAAGTCATCTGCTGTGGCACTGTTTACAAAGTTAATTCTTCTATCCAATGAAGCAGGTTGTTTATAATCTGAAGACTCAGATTTTCTAAGACTTGATTTTGTTCTTTGTTACTTAATTAGATAAGTTTACTATTGATTTACTTTTCAGAGTAGAAATTTCTCATAGGTCTCTTAACTTTCAAGCAGAGTTTAAACTTGTCAACATCTTGCAATCTAATTTCAAATCTACAGCGTCTTTTCAGGTTGCAACCACGAACTTGGAAGACTCACAAATTTTTCAAATCAGCTTGTGGATACATTGTCACTGAGGAAAAATATTAAAGTAAAATTAGGGTTAAAAGAATGAACTAGAAGATAAACAAAATCCAAAAGTCTAAAAATGTAGCAGTGAAAGAAAAATGCAGCAGTAAAAGAAAAAAGATGTGATTCTAATAACAAATAGTTCTGTGAAAGAGAGCAACTGTACTATTTATCCATTCCTATAAAAATAAAGAAAAAGGAGATTTGACCTTCTCACTTCCATCTATTTTCTAAGATACTTATTTTGACTGTAGTAAAAGTTATTAGTCATAATCTTACATTGTCAATGCAGGGTTCAAAAAGTATGCTGATTAGAGTTTCCTGCTCAACTACACAGTCCATACAATCAATGGACACTAAAATCACAGCCTCTGACTATGCCTAGTGAGGAACAGGTAAATTGCCAGTGACATTATGCCCATGCTCATGGGAAGAAAATCCCCCTAACAAAGACCTCACACTTTTATGTTGCTGGGGTTTATGTTTCAATCCTGTTCAGTATTAAAAAATAGGAACATAATGACTTGGCCAGGCTATCTCTATCCACATGACCGTATTCATCTGCCATGGACATGAACAGAGGACATAAATCTAAATACAAATTGTACCACAGAGGGGCTCAAGGAAAGAGTAGGAAAGTTTTAGGTACCGCCATAATACCAGTGGTCACTGTTCCAATTAAGAAAATAAATTTAGAACGAAATAGAGCACCACCTATCTTCCAGAGAACTTCAGCATCATGTAACTCTTACTAAACACTGCTCAAGTGAAAAGAGAAAAAAACAAAAAAAATCACGTTGTAATCAAACAGTTAGTTAGCAGAAGAGAGTTTATATTCCCAAGATACGGGCAGGACAGACATTAGAGGTGGAATCTAGCCTTGCTGACATCGCACCTAAACAAACAATTCTTCTCAAACCAATGTCTTAACTCCCCATGTCATCAAAGGTGAGAAAGGGATGCCACTGAAGGCCTCCAAAGGATACCCTACATTTGAGAGTGCAGGTACGGAAATTAGATCACCAGACCATATTTTTCTAGTTCAGCAGCAACACAGGCTTGCTGACTTTTAACTGGTTGGGTTTTTTATGATTCTGGACTTGTTAGGTTGGAGAGGACAGGAGCACAAGCATGTTGAATGTCTCAAAGTCAGATTTCTTCAGTCTGCTTAAATCATCATGAACTTCAAAACTTTTGCAACCCTTGATTTGCAGGTCCAAGAGATTTTAAGTTTACCCATTTGTTGTCAAAGGAAATGCATTAATAGATGTATTTCAACGTACCTCTAAAATATCAAAGAGCCTTGCCTTCACATTTCTATTCCAAGCATACGTTACGTAAAAGCACAAAAGTTTGTGTAGTTTCTGTATCTCATTTATTAGAACTAAAGAAGGCTAACAGGTAAAATGTAGATATCTGAATAAATGTCAAATCAGCTCATAAATATCTAGTAAATATCTATTCACTCTCTCTAAAGGAGAAATGCCTTCATAATGAAAACATAATTTTCAGTTAGAAGGACAGAAGACTCCATGTCCCTGTGAAATACTTCTATAACCAGGTTAATTTAGTTACAGGCAGCAAACAAAACCCAAAATGGGTAGATTAATTTAGGTATCAGATATTTTTGAGATATCCCCACAATACTACTAGTTCTGGACTACAGACTATTGCATCTGTTCTGCGTAACCTCATTCCATTCTGTTCTGGGATTTCTCAATTCAGGTTCTGCAGAGGCAAAGTATCAAGTCTTTCAGCCTTCTTCAGATAATTTTCACCATTTCAGTTCAAATACTTAGATTTAAAAGTTAGAAGCACAGTCCCTTCTAATTGAAGAAAGGAGTAATTTCTTCCTTGATATCTTGAGGAATGTTGCCATTAGAATACAGACCATGAAATGTGCGAAATCAGAAAGCTGTGTATTCTGTATCAAAATGTTTCAATTTAAGCACTGTTTTAATGCTTGAACTGGAGAGGGGGAGGAACTGAGAAGATAACACTGGCCACCAGCAGCCTACTGTGTTCCCAGCGTTAAACAGTTGGGTTTCTCGTATATATTGACTTATGACTTGCCTCATAGCATCTGACATCTACCCACCTTTATTACTGTTTATTGCAGTGGTACAATTTTGTTGTTGTTGTTATATAGTTACCTTAATAACAGATGTCTCAACTCTGGAGGGAGGGCTCTGCACTTGTGCTGCTGCCGCCATGTTTGCGATGGTACTAAGGTGATTCATCTGGCTCATCGCCATTGTGACAGATGCTGGAGGTAGGCTCACAGGAATTAACGGGTGGGGCATCATCATAAAAGGAAGTTCCAAACCTGGTGGAGGAAAATAAAAAGGAAATTAGTATTTTTAAGACATTAATTGTCTTTTTTTTTTTTTTTCTTCTCCTGATGGACAATATACAAGTGATGGGTGACAAGATGGTTCACACTGCAGGACAAAGCAGCTATAGGTCAGTTCTCTTCTGGGATATGCATGGGTAAATCACTAGCAGCCATGGAGAGTTTATAGCTACAAGGAGAGGATATTAGACCTCTTAAGTTTGTTCATGTCACTGTAATGTATGGTATCACTGCTAAGCAATGGCTGTTTATTATCTTTCCTAATACGTGATGTAAGGTGTCTTAGCAAGGCATTATTATGCCTCTGATGCACAGGTTAGCAGTTATTTTAAGTACCAATTTTAATGCATACGTATTTGTTCTTTATTGTCTCCGCTTCCCCTGCTTAATACTTTAAAGGAAGTATTCCAATATTGCCCACATCTTTGATTTTTCATAGCCTATTTATATAGACACAAAATAAAGACAGGAATTGGAAAACTGCTGATGTCAGTGCTGAAAGATGTCAACCCGTACCATTTGGCAGAAGGTGGTTCTGTTGAAGAGGGTTGAGAGGATGGCTAACTGGAACATTATGCTGTCCAGGCAAGTTGGGGTGGTTAACAGAGGCCTGTGATCCTTGGGTGGGGGGAGACTGAAGTTTTTCTTTATCCCAAGAACCATCACTGCTGCCTGTGGGGAATGAATATATATTATTTGGATGAAGGAAAACTCCAAATTTTCAATGTTTGAATTTGCAAGCAAGGCCAGCAATCTAACCTGTTTTACAAGTGGCTTTTTTTTTTTTTTAATATGTGGGTTGGAGGAAGGACTTTTGGGGTTATTTTTCCACAAAAGATATGTAAGGGTAACTTTTTAAAGTTATTTGTTAGAACACAAACCTAAAAGTATTATAGTTGTGCTCACTCACATGAAGTTTGTGTTTGATGTATATTTTACATATACTTTTGCCAATCTTAGCAAGTAAAAATATATATATGGCATTTGTTTTATATGTGAGAGAATATTTTTGCCTGCAAAATATCTTAAAAAATAACATTGCCAACTGTGTCAATTAAATTTAAACTATATTCATATTTCATCTTGTATTTCTGAATAAATAAACATTATAGGAATTAACTAAAAATTTAATTTATTGAAGACACCAACATGCATGTATATGTGCTTGGCTGATGATTTTATTTTGTATATTCAATTTTCATTTCATGTTATTAATTAAGATGTTAGGGATTATCAATCAATTCCTGCAGTCTTCTGATAGTGGAATAGACAAACAGCAAGGAAGAATGTGGGCAAATAAGTGTTGAGATGAGCAATAATTCATATAATGGAGAAATACCCTTTTCCATTATTGCAGAACCTCATAAAAACCTTTATCCTCATAAAAAGTACCCACAGAATCAAACAGAAAGATACATTTAAAGGAGAATACCATAAATTCATATAATATTATTAATTAGTGTATTTGTATATAATAAAAAGTTTAAAATCTTCCAATTTGACCATTTATATTATTCATGGTGGATATTTTTGTATAAGGCTGAGATTGAGTATATGTATGTTTACGCATACTAAGTAATCTATACACTCATTGTATGAGTTTATTTACCACATACAATCAATAAACAATGTTTGAATATATTAATAAATATGTATATATGCATGCATTCTCAGCAGTATTAATATACACATCAGCAACATATGATTGCTTCTTTTTTCATGTAGAGCACAATCTCATCCCCTTGACTTTGAAAGTTTCTACTATTTTCATGGTAATTTCTCTTGATAAGGACTTTAGGATAACATCAGTCAAGACCTATTTAATATATACTCAATTTCTATTTAGCATTAGGGATTACAGTGAAGTGTATATTTCTGAATGTTTTTCTATATTATTCTTATTACTCAATAAACTACGGGACTGAAAACCAACCACCTCCTCCTTACTTCCAATAGAAAGGGGATTACCACGCTAGTCTTGACATTTTTTAACACAGTTTTCCTGGGACGACAACAGCACAGAAGTTGGTAGAACTCCAATTTAATTTCTCTAAATCTGTTAAAAACCTGATTGTAAAAGCTGTACAACACAGTTTATAATGAAAAATACTCCATTATTGCCATGATTTTTTTCCCTAGTTACTTCATGAAGACAGTTAAGGCTCAATATAAATTCTAACTCATTAGCTCAATACTGTCTCAATCCCAGTGTAAATTGTTCAGAAGTAGGTAATGAAAATTCAGTCCAAACTCTCCTGCAATCAAACAAAGCAATTTTATGAAACAATTAAAAGAATCAATTATATGAGATACTTCTATGATTTTACAAGAAATTGTTGCAACCTTTATGCAGTGTGCATAGTTGAGCGGGTTAATACATCATTGGAATCTCATCATCTCTGATAAGTGAACATGTATTTTGAGAACGCACAGACTCTCAAAAAACCATGAACCTACTTTCAAACACATATATATCTGAAGGAGCTAAATCTTAGCTGGAAAGATACTTTCTCTTCCTTCTAATTTTCTTTTTTCTAATTTTCTGATTCTTTGCCACTGTGACATATGCATTTCACTCATTCTGAATATCCATTCATTAAAAAATATGGCCCTGGAAATGAGGGTAGTTCCAAATGGTCATTCATCCCATCTTTAGGGTATGTGTCCATAAAATAGCAGAGCTGTTTTTATAGTACTCAGGGTTTCATTAAAAAAACAAGCACAGAAAATCTGCCTACACAATGCCAAGTCCTGAACAAGAAAAAGCCCAATCTTAATTTCTGCGTCTGGTAAGAAAAGATGAAGAGACAACTTTGTTCTGGCAGATCTTGCCACGGAGCACACACACTGTTTATCCACCCTGCTCTAGTTTCATGCTGTACGCGGTACTGCTTGGCCGGCTGTGACCAACGTGAAGGCAGCAAGGGCCCCCTACGCTGGCTAGCTTAGCTCAAGTGTGATTGCACTGTGATGTGAGCACTGCCTGCTGATCAGGTAATGTCCAAATGGAATGACGAGGGCAAGGCCGCAAGAAACAATTTGAATCAATGGCCTCTGGGCATGCCTTTATCCACAGTAACTGCAGAAGAAGATTTTAACAATGGCTTAGACTTAGATGGCTTAAGTAAGATGAATTTGGGCCAGAATGTCTTGGGTTCGTAGCTACTAACTCTCCCTTCTTTACCATCCACTGAAAATTCTTTTTTTGAGATTTATTTTTTGTTCTGTATACATTTGTAAAATGTGTTTCAAACCTAGCGCAACATTCTCAGATTTACATGTAAAGTTATAGTATTCTTAACAAGATCACCATTTTACATATAGTTTAAGCTTATTATTTTGTACTTTCCTATCAAAACATGATGATATCCATATGTCATATATAAATACATATAACACATAAATATATACTAGCAATTTTGTAATATCTGTAAATATTATAAGGAAGATCTTTGCATTTTATAGAGCTGGTGAATTCCCAGTAATAAGATACTTTCCCTATTTATTAGAAAGATCTTCTATAGTACAGTTAATATAATGTTACACACTGATGTTCGATATGGAGATGGAGTCAATTCTGCTGTGACCCTTCCTAACCTGGTAACAGAATTCTGCACGGCCAGTCACAGATTGCCAATTATGGCACTGCTTATGTGGCTCAGAAATTAGAGCTTTTCTACATCAGTACTTCTTTCTGCCTCAAAATTACAGTGTCTATTGTTTTAGAGTGATATCAAACCCAATAATAAATTGGAAGAGAGAAGACAAGCTTCAGAAAGCAAAGTAGTGAAGCCAGTGTTTAGTCAGTGACAGATTCTTTAATACTTGTAGTCTGGCATCATCTGTCAAGATTTGTTTACAAGGAAAATGATTCATAGACAGAATCCAATCCATAACATTAGAAACCACTTTCAAAATAGAGGCTGTTGCACTTCTGAACACTTTAAGTGGACAGACATAGTTACAAATAGTCTTGGCCATTTGCTGTGTTTTTCTTATGTTAGTTAAGCCGAACAATTTTCCTCTTAGAGGAAACAGTTATTTTCATTAACGTCAAAGCAAAATAAGTGTTATTCCTTAGACGCTACTCACCGTCTGCACAACTAAGTGCAAGCTACCAGTTCTGTCACTTTTTACATCTGATTTTGATTTAATGCGTACAGTGGTTTCAAAGAGCATTAAAAATCTGTTGCCTTCTTCCTCTTCACTTGTTGCTCTACTGGAGGCTTATGTTTTTCCAGTTTCCATCAGTGGTTGTCAAGTCTTTGTAATAGGATTAAAAGCTTGGACACCTCATATCCCTGGGTGCTGCAGTTCACCCTCATAAAAGCTGTTTGCTTTAAATTGAGAGAAAATCAGTTTTTAGTGGCATAATTAATTAAATTATGCAAAGTGTTCCAGATTCAGCAGAACACTTTCCGAAGCAGCAATTGGAAGCTCTACATTGCATTCAAACTGCCTTTCAATTGACGCTGCACTAGGCTGACCATAGAGTAGCATTTTCAAGGCTTTCAAGCACAAGGGATCCAATTTTCAAATGCAGATGCTTAATAAGGAGTGCTCAAACCCCATGCATGTGCACTTGAATAGGTAATTTGGTAGCCAACTATGTATTTCATGTGCTATAGTGTTGATACAAGCACTCAAAAACTTGAAATTGAAGTTCCAAATATAACTACATGTGCTTAAAAACTGGACTCGGATTGTCTCACATTTACTCATCACGGACAACCTGATGGAGCAAAAATGACAATACATTTTCATAATTTAAAAGGCGGACAACAGAATTCAGTGTTTTCCTCATCACCAACATTTCAGCACATATTTCCCATTATGTGAGTTACCTTCTCCCATAATCAGTGGTTACACAACAAACCATTATTTGTACACTGAAGTGGGTCTGTAAAAGCCTGATGCCTGAATTATTTGTATTCATTAGTGGCACAATTAGGTAGCTAAGGATGGTAATAATAAATGAAAACAATTCTGGACCGGAAAGTAATGCAGCCAAGAAAAATAAAATGAATCAGAAACTAGACTGTACAATGTCAGCCTCACACACACTCTGATCTAAATGTACCAGATTCATTTTTACAACGACATCTCGTATTTGTTTCCCCCTTTCCCTTTCTCATTCTGTCCCCATTAGGATTCAGCTTGACTAAATTTAGGTTCCTACAATGTGAGTTGAGCTGTTTAGTTCCTGTGATATTTAACAGGGACCTAGCCAACAGGCTCTGGAGAATGCTGGAGCTCCCTCAGTGAGGGACAGATCTAACTTTGGTCAGCTGATTCTCCATCTCCTCGCTCCACGGACTATACTAACCCTTCTCCCAAACACACACCACATGAGACGGCCAAAATAATGAGACGTGTGTTACAGGATTTGTGAGTAAAACACAGCACCTGCAGCAGACCCCGTAGCTATCTGGAGATGGAGATCAGGCAGGATACTCAAGGGTAGCCAAGACAGTAGCATGTATCTGTGTCTAGGCCAATAAACGCAACCGTCTGTGATTACAGGTGGAGTTTAGAATCAAAAAGTAGGCTTTCTGCCAGGCACTCAGGTCTTTCCCTTCCTTTCACGTGGAAAACTTGGATATTTTACAGCATCCCAGAGCACTTCAAGACTCTTCAGGCAAGTGAATCCCAGGCCTGCTCAAGAACGGTTT